CTCCTCTCCTGTCTGATGTGAAGTTCAGCTGTAAACAATTTTTTTGGTGCTTGCTTGATCAGATCTGTTTTGTGTATGGTAATACATAAATTGCTCATACGGTATGCAGACACGCTGATGCACAGAATATGACAATGGAACTAATTCTTTTGGTCTGTTCGCAGTAATATATAAGACTGATGGTTTTAAAATTACAGGACCACTAGGGAGAGCACTCCATGCAATTTGATCATGGACCAGAATGCCATCCAAACTCCGAGTTCAAGTAACAGGCGCACCACTCATAATGAAGCCATTAACAGGATGCAAAATCCAATGCTAAGAAACATCCCTACTGCAGATGAAATGGACGAGTTTTTTGCCCGTGAAGAAAAGCAGCAACAAACACTGTTTATCGAGAAGTATAAATTTTTCACTTCTGGCATATCTCCTGTTTATTTACTTGTGATATATCAGCTCTCTAATATATATAGATGTTACATGTGGATATTTCTGCAGGTACAACTTTGATCCAGTGAATGACAAACCCCTTCCTGGACGATATGAATGGGTGAAACTTAAACCCTAGAGGAGCGTTCCATCAGGACTTCTGCTGCTTTCTTGATTATACTAGGAAAGGTGAAGAAACCATAGGTACTTTCAGTTTTACAGGGTGATGGTGATGTTCATATTTTCCATTACCATTACTTGTAAAAACATTAGGCAACAAGTTTAGACAGCAGACTAATGATCTGTAACATTACAGACCTTGTGACTTACCTATACAACAAGATCCTTTGTCTAACAGATCATGAAAGATTGAAGGGAAAAGAAACCGGGTCGTAGTGGTAGTATTTAATGAATTAGGTTTAGTTGTAGTGGTGGTATAGAAGTTAACTTGAAGGTTATTCTCCTGTAACTTCATCTGGTTTACCATCTGTATATTTGTACTGATGGAAGTTCTATGAACTCTGAATAAATTGACACCGTTTACCCTTCATAATGTATTTGCATGTTCATTGTTATCTTGGGACATAGTTATTTTTTGCGTTCTTTCTCTACGATTGCTTTTCTTTGGCATGTTTGGCATGCAATATGAACTTAACTCGACACTGTGTTAGACAAGATTTTCGCTTTGTTTTTCGCAACAATGTTACTTTTTTATTCGATTTACCGTTACCAGGGCAAGACAGTGCTATATTTTTTATTATATGAGCTGTGAATTTAGTACTGTGTTATCTTGTTTGTTATGTTGGCTGCCGTTTAACCAACAAAATTGCTGGTGGGAAGTAAAATAATGGTGGTAGTTATAGTGGTAATGGCATTTGATGAAACCGATGAAATGTTCTAATTTCAACGGTGTCTTCTTAGAAATCAAATCTTAAAATCAAGTGGTCATTGATTTGATTAGCTATTTAACCAATGAACATTCTTCATTAAGAATATGTTCCTCTTTGGATGATGAGTTTGCCTTTGAATAATTCGACCTAATGTTGTCGCCACTCACAAGCACTTGTGATCTTGACTTTGAGAGACATAGTGCATGTTATAGGGATTCATTTGACAGGAATTTTATTTTTGTTTTTTATAGAAGAGTTTTTTTAGAAAGTTATCTTAATTGGTATTTGAAAACTAATTTTTAAAAGAGTTTCACATTCAGAAGAGCTTCTAGAGGAAGTAACGATGAGTCGGCTTCGTTTGAAAGTTCTTCTAACTAGAAAAAAACGCTTTTATAAAATTAATGAAGTAAGTCCAAGAGTACCTTTTGATTTTCAAAAGCTCATTTTGACTTCTTAAAAGTTATGTCAAACGGAGCTCCAAATCATTTTAAAATATCTTATTCGCTTGACTAGATAGAATTATTTCTTTTTCAATCACGCTCGTTTAAACTTAGTGGCTTGATAATGGGGTGTCGGTTCAATCTTGTTCAGCCTGTTCGTGAAAAATACAATCA